TCGGTATACCCGGTAATGACTTTTTCGTCATTAACCCCTACCAAGTATTCAGAAATTAGAGCCCTTTCGGTGTGATGGCTTTTAGAGTAACAACTTCTGTGGTGCATTCGTTATAAGGAAACTGAAATAGTTCCGAAAAAAAACTCATAATTACATCCTATCATATGAAAGTCATTACACCAAAACAACTCAAATTCCTCAACTTTTAACATATAGTTATATCAAAGTCTTTATGCCATGGGTAATTACACTAATGTTCAGGACCTAAAAATGAGTACATCTCGATTGGATGCTCCATGGGTATTATGACGTCTAATTCCCATAACTCGATGTCTGGATATTTTGACATCTATGATTGAATTAAGTACTGGAATTCGAGTATAGACGTAGTTGTTTTATTTCAATTAAGTGTTGACTAAACAATTCAGATGTAGTAAATAAATAAATTATTTATTAATCATATGAAATGTCAATTATAGATCGAATAGACATTGTACACTTTTGATACTTTTATTTTGTCCTTCATCTATGATATGCGGATCTAACATGATAAGATAAATTTCACATAGAGACTCATTCTTTTTTTTCAAGTAATTGTAGCGTATTTTGAATGTTAAGAGAACAAGTGAAAAACAGCTCATTTATTATAAATTTGGATAGGAAGATATTATTTATCTAGAGACTCACAAAAGAGAAAAAGTTTTAATCAGATATTTTCGATTTCTTCTACAGAATATATATGGTGTCATCAATATACTCATTGATCAAGACAACCATATCATTTATTTTCTCTTTATTGATTCTTTAGTATTCGAAACAGCAATATTAATGAAAAATTTGGATCAAGAAAATATTCAATACACAATCTAATACTTAAATAAGTAACTTATGGATACTTACAATGTCAAATAGACTTTGCGAACACTTATGTCATATTATATTTCGATTGTAATAAATATCTACCATCATCCAGTAGAGTTTAGAAAAATTCTATTACAAATTTGTGATCAATCAAAAGCAAAATAGCATGTGGATGTGAGTGTTGTGAACAGTTGAGCAACACTCACATCCATACCCGACATTGATCTTTCCTGCTTCTCAATTTGTCCCAAATGGCCAAAGACATATCCCAACGACTGATGAGTTATTTCTTGAGTGTCTATACGAAAATAGCGACGTTTTCGATATAGAACAATAAAGACGAGAGTGAGAGAGATAATAAATATGTTTTGTCGTAAAACATCGGCGAGGTATTGTGCTACTTGATCTCCGATTTTATTCGAGTGGAGATTTAGTCTGGTGATTGTCTTTGAGAAAGAAAAAATTCGTGAGCGGAATGAAGATCAGAGAGAGCAAGATAATTACCTTGTTGGGTCGTAATGCATCATTGAGATATTCTTGAACTCCTTTGTGTCGGAGTTGGTTGTTTGAAAAATCGAGTCTGTTTAGTGCCTGTATGAAAGAGAGAAATGTTGAGAAAGACGAACGAAAATCTTTTCGATGGTATCATAAACATGAAGGAATAGATGATTAGTATTTTGTGTATAATTGAGATTCCTTTTTGTCAAACGAAATAGTCATTTTATTTGTTTCAAAAAAGTTTCCCAAATTATCTTCAGCATCGATCATGCCTTCTTCTCATTGTTGTAACAGCTGATGAAGTTCCGAGACACTGAGGTTTGGATGAAGACTTCCGTAGTCAAAAGAATCGAATTTTTTTATGAAATGATTTCTGACCCAGAAAAAGACTCAGCACTTGCAAAAATATGTCGATTTTTCGATCTTGATCAATCGATGTTTTACTTCTTTTTCTTAGTCACAGTAAACATTAAGAACATGCGTCCGATTCGATCGCTCAAATCAGCAATGGCAGCACGATTTCTTACAGTTTACTCAATGTAAATTTTCGCTAAAAATCATCGTGAAAAACAAAGCCAAGGATAAATATACTCTATCTTTTATTTTTAAAAATTATGCATCTAAGATTTGACTTTTTAGACATAACTGATGAGCTTCTATACTGATGTATGGATATAATTGTGTCACTGAATTTCATTCATTTAAATCTTCCATAGAAGAATCATCGTTTCTCCAAAGACATACTGTTGACTACTTTACACTAAGTCGGAACTTTTCAGCCGCATTTCTGACGAATGAGATTTAGAAATTGCAGCGAAGTCTTGGAATATACGTCATCTAGACTTGCACCAACCATCTCATCGAACAAGCGGTGGGTCAGACAATTGATATTGTCTATCGATGATACTGCTAGCTTCACCAAACTACCAAAGTCGGTAATAGCAATTGATGTCGTACCACGGCAGATCTTATCCATTGTTGAAAGATAAGCACAAGTGACAAACCAATGTTTACCATCGAGCCAGTAAGAAGATCGAAATGGATTAATTTTATGATTTTAGAGCAATTCGGCCGACATTTTTGAGAGAAAAAGCATAAGAAAAGAAATATTCCAATCGTTCCAGCGTGAGTACATTGGTTTGAATGAATTCCTTCCATAGATAGCCGTCAAAAAAAAGAGTCAAACGTTGTTCTGTGAAAAATCAGTTTCACATGTCGAAGTGAATGTAATGGTGGCAATAGAATTGGGAGAGTTTGTTGAGAAAATAAATATTCCGTCAACGTTGGTGTAGATTTGGGTATGACAACGCGCAAAAAAACATCCACGCCCAAATTGTCTTATATTGTTGTTAATGCTTCTGGAGTATCGAGTGGTTCGCTAAGTACATTTATGTGATAAATTGATAAGATAAATTTTAATGTAAAATTTTATCTGGTTTAACTACTTTTGTTTCACTATATATCTAAGAAAAGTTGTTGCCTTAGTACAAAAATGATTATAAATATTTTAATTTCATTTGAATACTAGGAAAAAAACTTGCTTTTATTGGGGGAAAAATTTCTATTTGCATCTATTCATAATTTTTACCTTTTTTTTTAATCACACATTTCTAATATGATTGGTCGTCAAAATGATTAGAAGATACTCCTATTCAATAAGAACATTCAATTAAGCAAATAGTTTATTGTAAATTGATATATTTATTCTATATACGAAGGAAAATGAATAAAACAAAACTTTTGTTTTGAATAATTTACTTTATCCCACATTGATCTCAACCTTGCACCATCATCACTGAACGGAGTTATCATAAACATTCGATGGAATTCGATGAAACAATTTTTACTTAATAATAATCGTCTTTCTGATTTGTCGGAGCGTATACATGAACGTTTATTATTAATCGGATCAATTGTTGTTAATATTTGTAACATTCCAACACAATTCTCTACATATACGTGGAATTGGTGTGCACCATCTTCAGTGAATTCAGTATTTGTATATGTCAATGTACGTACGTCATTATATTCAATATATTGCCAAATATTCCTCGAAGAATCATGTTTTACAACATCATAATCAATAAGTATTATGCAGTTTGAGACAATTCGAAATATTAATAGTGATGATTTCGAAAAGTTAGCACTTGATCAGTTCATGCTTTTTGCTTTAATATTAAATGACCACTATAACAAACCCAATACATCACTAATCATTATTCGTGATATTCGTGATATAATTATTTATCGGTGTAAAAATATCTAGAACAATTATTCATGCCATTCTCATAGTATATATACTAGATATTTAGATCTAATCTACGCTAGAATTTTAACTTTCTATCTCTAGTAGTCATAGGAAATAGGTAAAGAAGTTTAAGGAGACTTCGAACAAGATACATAGCACGTATATTTTTCTATCATTTTCAAGAAAACAAGTCATTATATTCATCCACTATGTAAAACAAACATAGTTTTCTGACAGTGATAATCGTCGACAACTCTTTGTCAATATAATAAAAAGCAAGATTAGGATACAATAAACATGTTATCAAACTTTACTATGGAAATTTTCAATCTAATAAGTCATTATTATGTTGAAAGCAATGCCAAATCAAAGAGTTTCTCGATTATTCAATAACTATTTGATTCGTTAGACTTGATACTATGTAATTTTTTTAAGATAGTTTAATCAAATTAAATCTAACCAAGCAAGATAACTACTACCAATTTATGATATTGGGGCCTATCGACCATGTTTAACGAGAACACGGTCAAAAGACTCATTATAATTAAAGATAGATATATTTTTAATGTCAATAAATTATTTTTATGCTTTTCTAGAAACAAAACAAAACAGCAACACAAATGAAATTAGTCTTGTTGACATATAGTAGAGACTGACTATAGCTAAGTCAAGCTAATATAAATAATCAAAGTAACTATTTCGAATAATTACCTATATGACACTATCTCAGTATTCAGTGACTACTAAAATGAACGTACTTGTCAAATACAAGAACAAAATCAATGCAACAAAATTTATTTTTTATGATTCTTGATTAAAATGATGTAATTAATTATATTTTCAAAATACTTCTGACGCCATCTTGATATTCACATTAAAACATAATAATGTCGCCAGTTACCGACTAATAAACAATCCTTCTATCGTTGTACAACATATGATTCATTGTAGTGAGACTTTCATTAGGTTTGAATGGTTGGTTGAGTATTTTTATCTCTATCGTCAATATGATTTAATTTATTTTTCAATAAACTAATATTATTTTATTCTAGAATGCAAAAGAAAAGAAAACATCATCTTTGTTTTCTTATAAATAATAAATAAAACGAAACAAAAAAAACATAATTTCATCTTATATAAGCAATATCTCATTCTATTCTTACTTAACCGTTATGTTCTTATTTACCTTAATGTCGAAATATTTCTACATGTATAAAAATGTTTAGTTGTTTTGTTTTTTTTTTCTCATAAAATGACTCATATTGTTTGTTGCACATGCTATTTTTAAGTTTTGTAATTTATTTATTTTAGATATTCTTTTATTTGATGTCTACAATCATCAATCATTGGTTTTTGTTTTTTTGCTTCTAGTTTTTGTTTTTACTAAATTTCAATGACGGCTAAAGAAGATTTAGTCGAACCTATTATGGGTAATGGTCAACAACCAACATCAGATATAAATGATCAACAACAAACACCACCGGATTACCAAACTTCAATAAAAATTGAGAATGAAGATGATAATATTGAAGATGAAAAAGGTAAATGAGCAAAGCCAAAGCAAAAAAAAAAAGAATTTATTAATTCAAAATTTTTATTTTTTATTATTAATTTGAAAGTTTATGATGAAAATGGTGAACTAAAATTTCCAATTGATGATTTATTAAAACTTGAAGAACAAGTTAATCGAGTACGATGGATTGTACCAGTTTTACCTGATGGTGAATTAATTAAATGTTTACGAGCTGCTGTTTGTCTTGCTAGAGAAAGTAAAAGTTAAAAAAATTCATATTATTACTTTTTATGGTTGTTTTTTCGTCTTTCTAGAAATAGATACTAAATGTGAACCATGTCAACGATTTATTCGTGATAGTCTTGTTATTTCATTTACAAAAATTTTTTGTGATGATGCTGTACAATCATGGAAATATGATATATATGTATATTAATAATTAGACGAAAAAAAATAATAATTTCTTGGTTGTTTTCTATAGGTTGCTATTTATAAAAATGCAATGAAATTTATTCAATTATGTGTATTAAAAATTGATGATGATTGTTTTCCATTACTTGACATTCTAAGTTTTCTTATGAATCCTTTAGGACGGTAAAAAAAAAAAGAAAAGAAATTTTTTTTCATATTATTTAGAACATATCGAAAGTAGTGATATCGATACTATAAAAATCTTATTTCTACATACATTGATTAACTTAAATTGAATTCTATTAATTCTACAATATTTCATTATTGTTTAGATAATATCGTTCCATTTTAATTTTAGTACATCATAAAATTTACTTTTATATTATTACTTAAAGAATAATAAAATATTGTAGAATTATAGAGCTTAATTTAAGCTGTCAATATATATAGTTATAGAAAGAAAACTTTATTCGAGCTTTCTTATAAGATTTTCTAGTGTCGCTGACATTATTATTTTTGATATGTTCTAAATAAGATATGAAAATTTTTATTTTATTATTATTAGATATCATCAAGCCAATAATAATCGACACTGTTCATATCATCTAAAAAATGTCACTGAACCATTTGGTGCGATAATTGAACATCGTTTTCCACAAAGAGTATGTAGTTTTTGTGATAGGAAGAATAATGATAAAAGAAAAAATTGAATTTATACAGAGATATTGGTTTAAAAACTGCTGTTAACTATCTCGAGACGTTCCTTATGTACTTATAATCGTTTTAAGCTTATGACAAGGTATTCATACAGAAAAAAGTAAAAAGAAGAAGTTTATAATTGAAATGAATGTTACTTTCTCGAAATGTAAAGTATTCAAAAAACTAACTTTTCTTCTGTACTTATAAGTAAAAAAATGTCAGTTCAATCGACGGATTAACACTTGAATATGTATCCCAATTAGTAAAAAACAAAAGTTCTTATAGAAATGAAAAACTGAATCAATATCGGCATTGATTGTGTCTGTAAGCGATGACTTATTAAATTATATTATATTTATGATAGGAAGAAAAAAAAATAGTATATTTGATTAAATTAAAATGGAAATATTTTTAAATGATTTTTCATTATTATGTTATTGATAACATATCTAAATTATTTGTATGATTAAATAATAAAAATTCTTTTTATTTTCTGATATAATTATAAAATAGATTTATTTAAAATATTTTAGGGTTGGCTTGTTGATTTTATAAATAGATTTGGAGATTTAGGTGGTTTTGATAAACTTCTTACTCGTTTTACCTCACCTGAAAATAAATTAACAATATCTATTGTTATTGCATTACTTAAACCATGGGGTCTTTGTTATGAATATTTAACACAATCAACAATAAAAAAATATTTTGCACCTATTATTGTAAGAATTTTTTCATATTAAAATTATATTTTATAATACATAAAGAAAAAAAAATTATGTTTGTTTTTTTTTAGGAATTTGTTCCACAATATCTTAATCAATTAGCAGAAAATGAATTTAAAGTTGAAGCAAAAACTGAATCGAAAAGTGATACATTATCAGCAGTGATTAAATGGCTTCGTCATCTTGCATCACGTCTACCTGATAATGATAAAGCATGTCGAGATTTAGATGAACTTCGTCTTAAAATGGTTTTACGGTATGAAAAAAATCTTTATTTCTATTGAGTTTTTGAATATATTCGTTTTTTTTTAAATAGACTTTTACAAACAAATTCATTTAGTAGTAAAATGAATGCACTTAATGAACTTCATAAACTTATTCCAAGTCTTAGTCCAATTCATCGTTCAACAATAAATCGTTTGGATGATAATGAAGGTTTAACACCTGAAAAATTTATTGTAAAATATTCTTCAAAAAAAAAATTTAATTCTATTAAATAATATTTTTTTTTCTGTATTTCTTTTTTTAAGAAATGGATTCAAGATCATGAAATTCTCGATATTGTTTTACGTGATTGTTTACATCAACCACAATATGTTGAAAAATTAGAACGAATTCTTCGTTTTATGATTAAAGAACAAGCATTAAGTCGAAATGATTTAGCTAAAATTTGGAATTCATCATGTGGAAAACATGAAGCTATTGAAAAAAATGTTCATGATTTACTTGCTAAATTAGCTTGGGATTTTTCACCTGAACAACTTGAACAATTATTTGATTGTTTTCGAGTAAAAATTTATAATTTTAAATAAACAAATAAAAATATTTTAATCATATTTAATTTTTTTTTATATATTAAATAGGAAAGTTGGACAAAAGCTAGTAAAAAACAACGTGAAAAATTACTTGAACTTATTCGAAGATTAGCTGAAGATGATAAAGAAGGTCTTATGGCTAATAAAGTAAATATTATTAGAAAGAAAAACCAGAATCAATAATTTTATATATTTTTTTTTTGAAATAGGTTTTAGAATTATTATGGAATATTGCACATGAAAATAATTTTCCAAATGAAATTATTGATCAAGCTTTAGCAGCACATTTAAAAATTCTTGATTATAGTTGTTTATCAGTAAGTCATCAAAATTACAAAGAGAAATACATTTTAAATTTTTTCGTATTGACATAAAAATCATTTTCAAAGATTAATCTAATCTCAATAGAAATCCAAAGTTTTTTAGGATTTTTCCTTTAGAACACTATGTGTAGTATCCGTACTATTTTTTTAATTGTGTTTCATAAAAATCATTGAAGTTAAAAGAAGAAAAACAAAACCACATAAATTACATATTTTGATTTAGTTACAACTGACAATTCTTAAATTAGGCACATTCTATGTTGAATAAAGTCGTCGATCATCGAAAGATTTAGCTCGTCAATTGTTTTGCATTTACATAAATTAGAAATTTCAATGTTCGTTACATCATGCAATTCGTGTATTGATCTAAATACCTGCTTATTTAGTATCTCTATTGTTTCGATAAAGATAAAATTGAGTATATATTTAAAATGGATAAGTCATGTCTTCCCTCAGCATACGACTGGATGCGCTAAGTGTTTAAATAGTGTCTATTTTGGTATTTCAAAGTTAATTTTCTTGTATAAAAGATATGTTAATCAATAAAAAATAGATTTTTATAGAATTCTATTTGAAAATTTTCATAGGAAAAAGAAAAAACAAAATTATCTTGGATTGATCGAATGATGGAAGATGTTAAACAAGATCAACATGTAATTATTTCATTAAAACAAATGCGTGAAATATGTACACAATTTTCAGAAGTAAATTAATTTTATTTTAATCAAAATGTTCATTTTTTTCATTTCTCTAAATAGCATGGATATCCACATAATATGCCACGTATGTCTTATCCATTAAATAGAATTAGTCTTATGGAAATCTTAGAAAAAAAACATAAATTAACTCGTATTATAACAGAAAATCTTTGTTGTTATATGGATAATACTAGACAATATCGAGAAGGTAAAAAAAAAATAGATTTAATCTAATTTTTTTTGTATGAAAAAAAAAAATTTATATGTTTAAGAAACAAAAAAAATTTTACCACCAGAAGATTATTATCCTGATGGTCGTTTTAATCATAATCAACAAATAAATGAACGTTTACTTTTTCTTAAGTAAAATTATTTTCAAAAATATTAAAAAAAAATAATATAAAAATTTTTCTATTTCAAGGTTTATATTAAAAGAAGGTCGACAATATTTAAGTTTTGATCTTATGAAAATGATTTGGATGAGTTTAGCTGAACAAGCTGTTTATCCATATGATCGTGAACAATGTTTTCGTTGGTTTGCTGATGTAAATATTTAAATACTTCTTTTTTTTTGTTTTGTTTTCATTTTTAATAATTTTTTTGTTTTGATTTAGACTATTGATGAAGTTGGTTTTGATTTAAAAGGAGGAAAAGATTTTTTTCAAAATCATTTTATGAAACTTGAACCTCATTTACTTACTGATTTTGGAATGAAGTAAGTTTTAATTAAACATTATCTAGAATTAAATTTATTATATTATATTTTTTGTTTTTATTTCTAGTTGTTTTGATCGTTTTTTTAAATCTGTTAATACACAATCACATAAATTAATTCAAAAACGTCGTTCAATACGTTTATTAAATGATCAAGATCTTATTGGTATTGAATATTTATGGAAATTAGTATTAAATGGTACAGATATTGTTGCTCATCGTGGTATACAATTAATTAAAGAAATATATACAAATATAAATTCATCATTAAAAAATGATATTAAACGTATACATCAAACATTTTTACAAGAATGTTTTAAACGTTTACAAAATGTTTATGAAACAATTAAAATAAAAACAAATCCAATAATACATCAACAAAAACTTAATACATTAATAAGAATTTTAACTATATTAAGAGAATATTTAGCTGAATGTGATTATTCTTATCATAAAGAACGAAGTATTTTACCTATGTCAAGGTACTAAAATAAGCAAAAGAGAAAAATTAAATTAAATGATCTATTCTTTTTTTTTCCATCAAAAGGGCATTTCGTGGTCGATCAGTAACAGTAATTATTCGTTTAAATACTGGACAAAATCGACAAACAGAAGATTTTGAATATGCATCTCATACAAATGAAACATGGGGACATATTCGACGAATGATTTATTTACGGTATTAGTTTTATTATTATTTTTTTTTCGAAGAAAAATTTTATAAGTTTTAAGTTAATCATAGTCGAAATGATTCGTAGTTTAATCTGGTCGTATGTGAGAACGCACGTTTCGGAAAATATTTGAAAAGTTTTTGATTCTATGTGAAGAAAAATCACAAGGTGTATGATGCTCTACGATGAGTTCTATTCAGTTACTTCGATAAGGAGATACGCTTGATATTTGAACAACAGATAAAAAATTAGTTTCATCAAAAGTGATGAAAATATTTTATATAAGTAGAGATCTATCAGATGATATTCGTGACTTTCTCTACTTTCATTCATTGATCGTACTCAAAATTAGAACTGAAGTGATATGGAAGTCAGCAGTATCAATCTTAAAAGGACATATTCACAGCAATCGTTCATTGCATTATGATAGCAAAGTAATGATTCAATGGAATGAATGAACAATATAAAACATGAAAATTTATATTACCTGACTTACGAGGGAGCATTCTCAACTGTCACAACGCTTTTAAGTCGAGCATATGCGTATTATGTAGATCCTAACGATCGATGAATTCTCTGAAAAAAGTTTGTGCCGCTAGCTTATTATTGCTGAGATACTGCCTTTTTACTGTGTGTTAAAGAAAAGAGAGCTGTGGTCCCCCTCAGGAACGTTTGGAAAACTGAATTTTGAATTTGAATTTCAAACTTTGCATAGATATAGGGCTCAGTGAGAATACTTTATTGTGAAAGTTTCAGCTTTTTTCGTTGCACCTATCCTAAGATACAATTATCATAAAATTGCTCATATACCCCAGCGGATCCGATGCTCTTATCTCAGACTAGGAGCAACCAAAAGATCTGAAACATTCACAATAAACTGTCCTTATTGAGGCCTATATACATGCAAAGTTACAGGCTGAAACTCAAAACTCACTTTTCCTGATATTCCTGAGGGGGACCACGGCTTTTTCCGAAACATATAGTAAAAATGCTATATCTCAGCAGTAAGAAGCTAGCGGCACGAACTTTTTTGGGAGGACTCATAGATCATTAGGACCTACATAATCCCCATACGGCCGACTCAAAAGCGATGTGACACTTGGAAATGTTCCCTCGTTAGTTATGCTAAATTGTTTATGAAAAAAAAAGTGTACTAAGATTACCAGAGTCAATCGAAGATTAATAGAATGAATTGTTTTTTTTATATCATAGTATTTATTTTAAATAGCTCTATTTCGATGCTCTTTCTTTGTAATAAATATATATTCTATATAAGGAAAACTTGTTACTGTTTTGATTTTTCTAGTCGGGGAAATTTTCTTTTTTCACAGTATATTCTGCAGTTCTGCATGTATTTATCCTTGCATTTCTAACAATGAGAAGTCATTAGGTATATTTTCATAATAATCAAGGTTAGAATATTCTAAATACTACAGGAAATTTGACTTATAAAGAATAGAGAGAGAGATTAAAAAACAAATCAGATTCATGTGAACTTCATATTTTTGTATTAAAAAACAAAAATTTTTGTTTTAGATATAAAACAAGTTATGGTATTCTTGAATTATATCGAAATAATGAATTAATTTATTCTGAAGATGATAATAAAACATTAGGACAAACCGATTGTCGAGAAAGAATTGTAAGTATATTTTAGACAAAAAATAAATTCTTTATTAAACTAAATTTCTTTTTCTTTAGACAATAACAGCTCGTTGGGTTCAACAAACAAATCAAGTTATTTCAAGTGATGAAAGTAGTTCATCAGATTCTGAAATAAATAATAATAATAATAATATATCATCATGTTCAACACATCACAATCGTATTTTAGATTCAATTGATTTAAATGCTGAAAATGCATTACCCTCTGTGGTAAATTTTTGAAGAAAAAAAACTTTTTAATGAATCAAATTTTTTTTTTCTTCTCTAAATTAAGATATTTTCTCAAAAACATGAATATTATCAATTTCTTATTGAAATATCTGATATGGGTTGTAAAGAAAATAATATTTGTATACGTGATATATCACGTCAAATACTTGATTTAGTTCCTGTTGATAATCAAACAAAAATTGCATTTATTAGTTGTTTAACAGCACCAAAATCAAATTCAGATGAAAATGGTTTACGTTTTAAAAATTTTTATTATCATATATCACCAACACAATTATTATATAATTTAAAAACAACATTTATTAAATTAGTACCATCTATACCAACACCAAGTGAATTAACTGAAATTGATGCTATATATGTAAGATTTCTTAATGCTGGTGGTTTAATATGTTTATTAAATATATTAACACAAAAACAATTTATTGAACAATGTGACATAAAAACACATAAATCAATTTATCTTAATATATTTTATATGTTAAAACGTTTTCTTCTTATACTTGGATATTATCAATTAAAAATAACAAATCATAATGATTCATTAGATCAGATACTTAATTTAATGCCTATGACAAATATATATATTGGTGAACATCATATACCAATTGAAAAACGTATAGCTCTTTTATTACATCAACATATGAATGATTTTCCCATACCGAAAAATTCTTTTCTACAATATAATCATATTATTGATATTATACGTCTTATATGGTGTTTAGCATCAAATAATAAACAAATATCATTTGATGTTAATTTAAAAAATGATTTTAATTTAATACATCAAACATTTAAACAAGAAAATGTAAGTATGAATATATATATTAAGAGTGGTAAAAATAGCTCTTCCGTATCCGAGTTTTGACTATTATTCAATTTCTAACGAATGAAACTTTTTCAAACATATAAATACAGAACAATAAATCTAAAGTTTAAAATAAAAAAAATGAATTTTGTACAGACACACTATTTCCGAGATATCAATGGTTTTCTAAATACTAAATAGAGTCAATATATCATTTTTAGAAGTGAACGAAACTTTCTAACAAAACACATTATTTTTGTTATTCTTATGAGCATAGATATAGGAAAAGATACTAATCAAATTTGGAATATATATCAGTTCATATAATGAATATCATAGAATAAAGAAAAGCTTTATTAATGAGATATTTATTTGAAGTCCAAATAAGAAAAACAAAAAAAGGCGGATGAGTATTTTTTGAATAACTTTTGACAGAAACATATTGGAAAGAGGAAACGAAAGATGCATCGAATGTATGTCTTCTTGATTGTGAACGGTTTTTTCTTAATTGAAGACAGAAAAATGTCCTCAAAGTAAAATTAAGAGGGAGAGAAAGATAAAAATGTCCCTAATATGAAAGAAAACGAATATAGATATAGTAAAATGATCTGTGCAGATAGTTCGATTTAAAAATGTCAACTGCTTCAGACTAGTCTAGTGTCCGATGTCACTTGTCGTCCGGGCAAGGGGACGGAGCGAAAAAACCGTACTTCCAGACTATGTGATAACTGTGCATCGGATCTCTTTAACTATTTTAAGTCTACTATCGACTTTTGTTACGGTATATTAGCCGGAGTCCAACTTACTTAAGTCAACATCACCCTAAAACCCAAATACTTCATGGTACTTCAAAATTGGAAGTACCATGAAGTATTTGGGCTTTCTTGTCAGATAGACTTACGTAGACTGGACTCCGGCTAATATACCGTAACACAAGTCGATAGTAGACTTGAAATAGCTAAAGAGATCTGATGCACAGTTATCACATAGTCTGGAAGTACGGTATTTTTGCTCCTTCCTCTTGCATCCGGGTCACTTTTTGAACATGTATTATGAACTAAAGTATATAAAGTGACGAAAATGACAATAGATGAATTAAATAATGATATTCATCGTGAAACACTATTATCTCACAATTTGGCAAGGATGATATAATATTCAAAAATGATTATTTTGTCATGAAACGAATAAATAAGAATGGAACTCAAATATGGATTTGTACACATCAATTGTGAAAATGCTTCAATTAACATATGTAAAAGTTCAATTGTATTCTCTGTCCGATTCTACTTTGCAAACATTTTTTCTTAATTATCAAGCAAAAAATGTTTGCAATCAAACTAGAATAAATAGATCTAAAAGTCTGGGCCTTGTGCATTTTTGTAGATCTCTATTTAGTTGTTCGAATGTATTTCTGATTATGGAAAATTCATCTTAGTCACTTTACGGAGTATGTTAGAATTTCAAAAACATCAATTTTAAGTTCTTGAAAATGATGCATCTTCATCTACTATTATCGTTATTGCATTTTTTTCTAAAAGAACTGTTAAAAATAATTTACTTTAATATTTCAGGTAAATCCTAATGATCAATATATACTAAATGATTATTCTGAAGAAGATACTGAAAGTCAATTAGCTTGTCGTGAAGGTTTAGAATTATTATGTATATCAATAGCATTAGTACCATTAAGTGTTGAACAATTATTAAAAGAAAATTTTTTTGAATATTTTCTAATTGATCTTATACTTTATTGTCATTATCCAAGTATACGTCATACAGCATCAGAACAAATATTAATATTAACAACACATTGTTCACAAGGACAAACAGAACATTTATTAAAATATTTAATTGATAAACAATTTCAAATATTTAATAAATATTCAGAATATTTAAAAATTTATTCATCATATTCATCAGATTTTTTTTTCTTATTATGTCGTTTATTAACATTTGCATATCAAAATCATATAATACCATTAAATATTGAACAACAATTACATGATGAAATATTATGGTTAAAAAATATACAATTACCTATTGATGATCATTTATTACGTGGTCATTTAAATTTAGCACGTGATTTATTACAATTTCAAACAAGTGAACATAAACGTTTCTATGGAATTGATCAATTATTAATACAACAAATTATTGAACAATTTCTTTTTCCAGCATCAACATTACTTTATCAATTTCGTTCAACAAAACAACAAAATAATCTTTTAAAACAAACTAATGATAATGATGATGATAATGAACTTAAAGAACCATCAACACCTATTTGTCAAACATCAATAACAATATCAGCTGCTTTTGATTTATTAGTTATATTAGGAACATATTGTATTGATAATTTAAAATTAATTGATAAATATATTACAGATCTTTTTTATTCAGGTAAAAAAAAAGCCGAAGGAAATTTTATTCAGATAAACTAGTTCTACTAATTAGAAATTTATCATCGAAACAAACTTTAAGATCGCTGTCTTCCTTTTCCAAAATCGATTTTTGCTGAAGTATATAAAATGTCTACGAAACGTTCGTCTCATGAAAATATACCAATAAAAAGAATTTTACGATTATAAACCTTACTGTTCATGAGATTTCCAGGAGTCAAGTTGCAAAATAGAGCTCTCATACGTATAAATATTTTTTCAATACATTTCAAGTTATAGGGTTTGGACTACTCTCATTTGAAAGAGAACTTTTTATTGCTTCGGATAACGAGAAAGAGTTTCTTCAATTTTTACTTTCAATACTAAAGATCACACAGCAAAATTTCTTTTCTTTATTCGATAGAGTATCTACTCCTCTATTTAATAAAAAAACCACAGCTTACTAGAATGAATTATATTGGAAAAAAATCTATTCGAAATTTGATAATTTATGCAAAAACTAGTTTCGAGAAAAACGCGCAAAATTTTTTTTTTTTGTACGTTTAGCTGATGCTCACTGAATATGATTATATGACATATCACTCAAAAAATCTACCTAAAATTCCATCTAATAGCCTACTAACAAAATAACAATTCATAATAGAAGAAGATAACTCTCAGAATGAAATTAGAGTTTTTCTATAGATTTTTGTTATTGATCTTTTCGCTAGGGAGCTCTAGAAATTCATCATGAATCTCCGAGAAATTTTTTAAAGTTAAAATTTTCTTTATGAATTTTTAAATTAGACATCCTAGAGATCATGCCTATAAGTTTATCTCAACAAAATATATTTTTATCGAAAAATCAATTTTCTTGACATTTCTTAGGAAAACACACAGAATTGTATGAAAACCTATCATATAAACTCGAACGTTTTTCCAAATATTCATAATCTATTAGAATTTACACAATACATAATACTTTCTGTTCAAAAGAGATTAATTCACTAATAAAATTTTCGTTCATTAGATGAAAATTGATCAATGTCAAATAATCAAAAGTAACTAATAGAAAAATTTTGATAAAAAATAATAAGATATGTTTCATGATGATTTTTTTGTTTTCGTTTTCAATCTTTTTTTTGCAAAAATGAACTTTAATTTTATATAATTATTTATTAGCTCCTGATTCAAATTTACATGAATGGGATTATTCATTACCAATTGGTTCACGTTCAAATGAAGGTTTTGTTGGTTTAAAAAATGCTGGTGCAACATGTTATATGAATTCTGTTTTACAACAATTATTTATGATTCAACCATTACGTACAGCTTTATTATCTGTTAAAATTCCACCAGAATATGGTGATGATGAATCAGAGGAAGATGATCTACGTCGTGATACAGTAAAAAATACAACAAAAAAAAATTTCTAAAAATAAACAAAATGTTTTGTTTTTTTTTCATACTTAGTTTGATCCAATATCTGATGGAAAATCATCTATTAAAGATAATAAAATAACAGTATCACCAACAAAAGATACTAAAAATGATAGAAATGAATATAATATTCAAATTCTTCGTCAAATTCAAAGAATATTTGGACATTTATTAGAATCAAAATTACAATATTATATTCCAAAAGGATTTTGGAAAATATTTAAGTAAATACATATATAAAATAAATACTAATTTTTATTATTCTTATTTATTCTTAGATTTGCTGGTGAACCAGTCAATTTACGTGATCAACAAGATGCTATTGAATTTTTAAATACAGTTGTTGATAGTCTTGATGAAGCATTAAAAACATTAAATTTACCACAAATATGTTCAAAAGTTTTAGGTGGAAAATTTGCTGATCAAAAAATTTGTAAAGATTGTCCACATCGGTATGTGCTTTGTTTTTTTTTTCGTTTAAAAGAAACTCTACAGAGTTTGTTTTTTTTTATTTAAAGATATTCACGTGAAGAAGATTTTACATTAATAAGTGTTGATATTCGTCATAGTCAAAATTTAAAAGAATCTCTTGAACAATATGTTATTGGAGAATTACTTGATGGACCTAATGCATATCATTGTGAAAAATGTAATAAAAAGGTATAATAAGAAGAAAAGTATTTGTGTTCTGTTTTTTTTTTTGAATTTAGTTTTTTTTTGATAGGTTGATACAATAAAACGAACATGTTTTAAAAAATTACCAACTGTTCTTGCTATTCAACTTAAACGATTTGATTATGATTGGGAACGTGAAACTCCAATTAAATTTAATGATTATTTTGAATTTCCAAGAGAGTTAGATATGGAACCATATACAGTTCAAGGTCTTGCTAAAGCTGAAGGTAAATTTTTTGTTGTTAAATTTAAAATAGAAGACTAAAATCTAAAAGTAATTCAATAAATTTTGTCATATGCTTATAAATTTTCTTCATATAATCTAAAACACTTTAGAGAATCTTCTCTAAAAGATTGGTTTTTTTTGTTCTATAATCAGGTACTTCTGTGATTGATGAAAATACAAGTGATGATCAAACTTCGACAAATTCTAATAGTAACGATGGTACTTGTTATAAACTTGTTGGTATTATTGTACATATGGGTCAAGCTAATGGCGGTCATTATTATTCATTTATACAACACAAGTAAATTTCATTGAATGATATTTATTAATAAATATATTTATATATACATATAGAAATGAATCAAATTCTTCTCATTGGTATAAATTTGATGATATAGATGTATCAGAATGTAAAATGGATGATGATGAAGAACTTCGATCACAATGTTTTGGTGGTGATAATCCAACATCATCATTTGATCAACCACCTATGAAAAGGTTTGTTTGTTTGTTTGTTTTTTTTTGAAGTTAATTCTACATATATATGAACAATTTTTTATTTTCTGATAGACAACGACGTTGGTGGAATGGATATATTTTATTTTATGAAAAATTATCAATTGATTCTTCAAATTCCGAAGATAATCTTGAAAAAGATTTTGCACAATTACAATTATGTATATCAAAATATAAATCTAATGATATATATTAGTTTTGTTTTTGTTTTTTTAAAGATGATCAAACACAACGTATGCCATTATCCGTACAACGTAGTGTTCGAAAACAAAATATAAAATTTCTTCATAATCGAATACTTTTCAGTCCTGAATTTTTTATATTTATAAAAAAACTTCTACAAAATAATATACATTATTTAGTTAATTTTATTCCACAATTACAACATGAAGATAAAAATTCTTTAACAAATGTAAATTTGATGTTAATTTTGAAAAAACAAAATCTTTCTAAAATTTATCATTTCTAGACACATGAAGAATTAGCTTTGATTAGTATTCAAATAGCAATAAAATTTATTTTTTCAATTGGATGGCATTCAAAAAAAGCACTTCGGTTTGTATTCATAGACAAATACATAGAAAAAACAAAAAAAAAATATTTCCGAATGATCAATACCTTTATTATCCTATAAATACTTTTTTTTTATTAGTGGTCAAATAAATGAATGGATTGATCCAATATCTCATTGTTTACGTTTATCACGTAAAGCTCGATATTATTTAGCTGATGAACTTTTAATTAAACATCCAAATCGTTTTCACGAATATTTAATTGATTGTACATCAGCTGAAGTAAGAAAAAATGAAATTCGTCTACAAAAATATCTTAAAAAAAAAATCAAATAGGTTCGTAGTGGATTTAGTCGAATACTTGTAGTTCTTGCACGAACTTCTCGACAAGATGATGAAAATTCTAATCAATCATCAGGTATTTATTTTATTTATTTAAAAAACAAAAAAAAAGAAATTTATACTTCAATTTTTTTTTTGTTTCTACTATAGATCAAATACTTATTGAAGATACTATTATAACTAATGTTGTACGTTTACTTAAAAAAGAAATGTTTGATAATATTAAAACATTAATACAATATTTTCAATTTTTTATTCTGTATCTATCAAATGGTCGTTATGAAGTAAGGTTTTTTTTTTAAATTAATAATAAAACAAACAATTTTTTTTTGTTTTTTGTTAATTTTGAAATTTCAAGTGTGAAAAATTAATTCATTTAAATGTTCCAATAATATTTGCTACAATGGCATATGATGATACAATAATATCATCAATACCACGTTTTGGTGAACCATCAAAAGTTTCAATTATACTTTCAACATTAATTCGTTGTTTTGATGTTTCAATGTTATGTAAAACAAGACAAGTAATAAAAAAAACTCCTTTTCAATAAAAAGAAAAAAAAACAATTTCTTTTTTTATTTAGTCAAATAATGAACTTTTACCAAATCCATATTATGCATTTGATAATAGTCCATTATGTTCTATTCCAGAAGATATGATTAATATTATTTATAAACAAGAAAATTTTTTAAAAAGAATTATTGAAGAAATTTGTTCATGTGACGAACTATTTAATCTTCTTCGATTTCTTATTTGGGAAAATCCAGATATTACTTGGATTATACTTCATGACATCATCGGATCAGTAAGTCATTTATATACTTATAATTATTTTTGAAAGAAAAACGTTTAAAATTGTTCATATTTATGATCGTTTACTTATTTTCAAATGTCTTTTTGTTTTCAATTCGATAGTTTGATTAAATATCATGTCTAGGGGTCGATTAGTTCAGATCTGAGGAACTGTTCAAACAGTTCTCGTGAACTGTTAAAAAACCTTTGTTCTGCTTTCGGAGATGGTATTCCCAAAAACAGAACAAAGCTTTTTTTAACAGTTCCTCAGAGCTGAACTTGTCGACCCCTAATCATGTCTATTAATAATTTTAGCTTTCAAAAGTTTATGCAAATGACTTACGTTCTCTACTTCATATAATATATGTGGTGCTTACAATTGAAGATTCTTGGCAAGAAGTTCGAATCTTATATGCATTAAAAGGCATTCCAATATCAAATGAAAAACAAATAATGAATGAAAATTCATCAACACCATTATCATCACCACCAACAACATTAAATAATAATCCTCTTAATAATAATAATAATAATGTTTCTTTAAATCTATTTGATATATTTTTAAAATTGAAATCATCTCATGAAAAACGAGCTTATCAATTTCTTAAAATGCTTTGTCAATTATTTACAACGTAAATTGAATTAATGGTTCTTTTTTTTTGTTTTATAAATTCTATATTACAATTTTAGTTGTACGAAAGCAAATAATTTATTACAAACAGATCAAGATATAAAACATCATTGGATACAAGCTGTTCATTGGTTACGTAATCAACTTGAAGTAATTGAATTTTATTTTATAAATTTTGTTTTATTATTTATTTAACTTAGCGACCAAATCACATTCCAACAAATTATTCTTATTATCAATCTCAAGGACAAATAACCAATAATGATATATCCCAAGGATATTTTCTTGAACGAACACCAAGTGCTAGATCAGTATTAGAAAAAGCTTGTGATTTATGTTCGGATAAAGTAAAAAAAATTTAAGAAAAAACAAAAAAACAATTTTTTTAAAATTTCAATGATTAATTTAGGAAAATGATGATACTGGTTCAAATAGTGATGAAGGTGATGAAAATTAAATCTATAGACCATCGAATATTCACATAATTAATCAGCAACAAAATAAAACTTTATAACAAAGAAAAATTTTCTTTTTTTTTTAATTTCCGAATTGTTCATCTAATCCTATTAACATACATAGACAAAGTCTGTATATGTCGAAAATCTTTGTAAAAACGAAAAAATAGAAACAACAATAACAAAATATTTTCTACAATTTATTTTATTTTTTCTTTTCTGTTCTTTTTTAAACTATATCAAAATGGATTCTATGTGTATATTTGTGTTTTGTCCTTGTAGAAAAAAAGAAAACAGGTTATTTTTTTAATTGCAGAGTATTTTGACGATCATAATAATAATAATGATGATGTTTGACCTGTGCAACTCAGCTGTAGCTATTTTTCTTTCTCTGTGTGTGTTTATTCTCTTATTATCACGGCTGTGTTTTTTATTTTTATTTTTTCTTTCGTTTTCGTTCTTTCTTTTTTTCTTTTTTTTAATTCAGAAATTGAAAGCGCATGAGAGCAAGAAAACTAAATAAAGTGAATCTATTTTCAAAAAATTATTTAATAAATTAATCAAGAATATCAAATCAATGATACAATTATTGGAATCGTTCGTAGGACAGAGCTGAGAAGACTTGATCATTTTATTTGAATCTACGGTAAAGACTTCTGACTAATAGCTTATTATTGTTAGTATCCACCATAGTGATAATCAACATGCTTTGGTCAATACGAAAATACATGTTCATATTTTTGATAGTTCATATAGGACATCTCATCATCTGTAAAGGAATTTTTTATAAAACAAAACGATTCTGTTAGAAAAATAATATTGATTATGTAAATGGCACGGATGGGTTACCGGATACCAGATTCAATTATAGGATACTAATTATTGTTGAAGTATCGCGTTTTGACGCTTTTTTTATAGCATAATATTGCGTTCTCCTCCTTTAAGAGCATTAAAAAAACTGAGTCTCGAACTTCGACTTGAAACTTTGCATAGAGACACCTCTTAAGAGATATGATGAGTGTCATTCTCAGCATGTTTATTTTTAGTATTATTCATACAGATCAATAAAAAGACATGTGTATACAGGTTTATACAAGTCTATCTATATAAAGTTATTTGATTGTTGATAATATTTTAATTCGTTCTGTTTTATTATGATAAACTGCAATTTGATTGATTCTAATTAATTTTTTATTCATAGGTTCTTTTGTTATGAGTAATTGATGGCGACGAAGTTTAGCACAAAAGATTGATTTAGATTGTTCATTTGTCAGTAAAATTGCTATTGATCCAATAGCAGAACTACATGCAATGGATAAAAATGATATTGAATATAATGGCCATGGAATTGGTACTATTCTATTGACAATTGTAGAGATTAAATAAGGTGTACCACCAATTCCAAGAATACTTGTAAAAATAAAAATATTTTTAAATACTTTCATATTTCTCTTCAATCGTCGTGCACTTAGACTTCTTAGATTAATCTGATTATGTTGTTTAATATGACAAATAATAATTCCATAGAGAATTGTTATTGTAATCATTGGAAATAGAAAAATGATGATGGCACCTAGAAATGATATGAGAAAGTTTTTTCTTGTTAAAGTACATACACGAGATTCATCTTCATATTGATAAGCTACTGGTGAAATAAGCAAACTAACAGCAATAATACAACTTATTATCCAACTATTAATAATCATTATGCAATTCATACGAAAACTAAGAAGAATTCGATATTTATGAAGAATTGTAATGAAAAAACGAGAAATTGCCTGAACCATAGAAGAATACGATATAATTGTAGCACCAAATGTTCCTAAACAAGCAATAATCTTACAAGTAAATGTATTCTTATTCTCTAAGCTAAGAGAAGTATTTTGAATGAATGCTGGTAATTGTATACAAAAGGTAATCGCATAAACAAGAAGACTAATACAAGAATTACATGATAAAAGATTAATAATAGACCAACATTGAGAATGACGATAATATACAATGATAATAATTGTCAATAATGAAAATATAATAGTTATTAGATAAAAAAACGCGAAAAGAGCACTCATAACTATTAAAAAAGTTTGATCCATTAGTATTTTCTTGTGCTTCTGTGAATCTAAAATATGAAAATTGAAAATAAATGAGAATATTCACTAGACCATTTCATGAAAATATGCTAGTGAAGAAAGAGGAAATTGTTTAATAATACCAATCTAAGAACGACCGGATTCATTATGTGAACCGTAAAGAAATAAAGCGTGCCTTTTTTTTTATTACTTATGGCGAAAAAACTAATTTTGATCTACGACCATTTGCTTAGATGGTGAGCATAAATATCATCGATGAGAAATTATCAGATAATTTTCATTGTCTGAAAATGGATTCATTCGAAAATATTTACAAATCTTTCAATTGTTAGCGAAAAATGAAAAATCTACTGAGGCTTTCTATTATCACAGCAATTTTTTCTTTTATCGATAATAGGCTTGTTAAATTTGAACTTCAAACACTAGAAGTTCTTTTTCTAACAATCAGAAGTTTAACAAAAGGTGTCAACTGAAAAAAAGGCAAAACTTTTTCATTCAAATGAGAAAATTACTTTGAGATCTTTTCATGAAGAACATCTCAATTTCCTTGCATTTTAGATGAACTTATTTGTATAGTCTAAAAGAAGAGATCTATATGATAAAATCCTAACTTTATTATTTATCAAGTCTAGTTTTCTACCTTTTTGGATTGATATTTGATGGTTACTCAAGTGGAATAATACGTCTCTCACTTCAAAAATATATTATATTTAGAATCAGTACAAAAAATTGAGCCAACTTCTATATCTTGCAAATATTTTCTGCAACTATTTTTTCTGGTTACGTTTTCATACCTGATCTTTCTCAAGAATATTTGAAGAAATAAATTCATTTCAAAAGTCATTGTGCTACTGAAAAGCAAGTTCTAAACTGGCAAAATGTTATTTGAAGAGAAAGAAGAATATGACTAAATAATAAAATAGTTGCTTTGATTAAATTCATTTTCTCACATATCCTTGAGAAAGATCAAGGGTGATAATTTGATTAGACAAAAAAATGCAGCAAATATTTAAAAAATATAGATGGTCGACTGAAATTTTTTGCACTAATTCCAAGTATGATATTTGTTTGAGTGGAAAATGTATTATTCTGCTTGAAAAACGTAAAATATCCGTCGAAAGAATTAAAAATTGGGTCTTATGAATAGTTGACTTAGGAGTTTATATGGTTCACTGTCTTTAGACTAGACAAATTAGTTCATTTTGTAATACTCGAAAAACAGAGTAATCAAACGATAAATAGAATGCCCATAGGCATTTCAAACTCACAATTTCTGCAATGGAAAATGTTTATACAGTCTAGTACATTTAAAACATTATTTTTAATAAATAGTTGTATTATGAAAATGTACTCTAAACAAAGAACTATTAGAATGACACCTATTTTCTATGTTGTGAAGATGATTGTATATATAATCCAATTATATTTCATCTTCAAAATCAATAGGAACGTAAATATGTTCTTATACGCATCCGTCTTTTTTCTAAGTTACATAGGTAATGTTTATCGAGGCTCAGCTCACCTGACTCTGGACTGATGAACTAGAGATATGCAAGAGATGATCTGACATATTAAACCGATACGTTTCATAAAAACCATTTTGTTCGTAATATAAAACTTGAATATGCCATACTTCTCTCTAATCGAGTTCAGTTCATATGTGCAATGTAACCGTTTTTTCTACATGAATTTTGTCAAATTCATCAATTGTTACACTGTTATAAGTATATTCGTGTTTGTTTTTTTATATTGTTCTTAAAACATCATTTTTAATTTCAAATAGATTCATCGACAGATGATCCTAACATAAACAAGAGAATAATGTAATTTGAACACATTCATCTCGAGGTGAATCGAGTGATACTTTTGTACTATCTGTTGTTTTTCATTTAAATTTCATTGATAGTATTTCTTCAGGATCTAGTGCGATGAATATGATCTGTGGCTTTAATATATTTTGCACCGTCCAAATACACACGATCCGCATAATTATTTCTACAACAAAGCCAAATGATTTGATATTTATTGACACATTGGTAAAAAACAAATCATCAAATAGAAGTTGATTCTTGTTTTTGAACAATTTCCCAACGAACATTATATTATAATAATAATAATAATAGAATAAGATAGAATAGTCATAAAGATTAGATAAACAAAAGAAATATAATTCAAAAAAAGTCATTCGTTTCGATAAAGATGATTCACTTATAGCTATGGAGAAATACACTGAAGAGTCATCAATAAGATGAGAAGGTGTTGCATATTTTTGTGCACTACTTTTGAGTTTAACTAAATGATCGAATATTGATTGTGTGTATTTCATCATTTATCGATGATGGCTGAAATGTCGAGAGCTAATCTGTTGTGTCACCTTTTAAATGATAATTGAATACAATGAATTGAAAAGTTCTCAGTATCATATATTGATATATATCGTATTATTGCAATTCTATAAATGATGCATGGTCACAAATAGAAATAAATTGATTTCTGAGGTTTCATTCTCAAAGCTTCAATATTTGAAATAAAAATCGTGACTTTGAAAATGTTCCGATTATTCATTAATCACATTATGCTGTGTCTTCTCCATGTTTGGAATAAAACATATGTTATAACATACGTATGCTTATTAGGATAAAATACAAAACGCATACAAACTATTTAGCATTAGTTATATGTGTGCTATGTCTATTGCAAAAAGATAATGTCACATTACTCAAATAGAATATAACCAACAAAACCATACCCTTCATTTTAAGATCAGGAACGTAACCAGAAATTTTTCAAGAGGGGATGTCAATCGAAAGAAGAATTGTTAAAGACTTATTTGACTAAAGTCAGGAAGATGGAAGAATGAAATATATTAAAAAATATGGAAATCGACTCAATTTTTAGTTTTGATTTCTAATCTGATATATTTTTTTGTCAAATGAAACGGGTATTATTCTACTTAAAAATTGTCAAATATCAGTCGAAAAAGTAGAAAATTGCGTCCTATAAATAATTAAGTTAGGATTTTGTTATGTGACCTACTTTTTTAGACTATACAAATTAGTTCGTTTTATAGCATTTGGAAAAAAAAAGTAGCATACATGAATTTCGATCTTGTCCCAAGTATGGCAGTTCATCAACATATATATCTTTCAGAGAGTCCATGCATTGATCACGAAACGAAGGCATTGGTGAAATTTTAGGTGTTTGGTCAAACATGAATATACGAATTAGTGTAGAGAAAACACAAGTTGAATTCATTTTTGCGACCTAATAATTCTAATATACACGGTAAGACACATGTAGAAATAGAAAATTCAGTATTTCGAACATGGTGATAAATTTGATTTATTGAAAACCATCACCTCCTCTCCCTAGTCAAGAATCTCTAAACGAATCCCTGGGGAGTCCCTGGTGGAATCCCTGTCACGATTCCCCAGGGACTTCGAGGGGATTTTATAATGAGATTTCACTTGGGTTGGATATTATGATCAGAACGTTGTGTACGATCGTTTGCAGTCATCGTAAGTCTCATGGTATATTCCTGAAGAGTCCCTAGCAAATCCACAGAAACTTCCACGTCAATTCCTGGAGATTTCTTGACTCCCTCCTAAATTCATAGGAAACCCCTGTCGGGATTCCCCGGGGATTCTCGACTAGAGCTATCATGTTGATTCTTCTATTGTTGATGAATAATACAGATCAAGTATCGCAGGTCAATTACAACTTTGCTTTGCTACTGCATTGAATGATGTTAATGGCACAAATCGCCAATACTAGAACTATAAGTATCTTTATTGTTTTTTAAAAAAAGCAATACAAGCTGAAATTGACGAGCTTTGCAGTTAAATAAAACTTGTTCTTTTTATATACAGTCAAAGATTTTCATATTTATTCGCTTCTTTAGCTCTGACAATGAACGAAGTAGCGGCTACCAACTTTAAATTGTTGTTCTTCTCAAATTGTCGTAACTGAAATTGTTTGCGTTTTCTCGAATCACTCACACCAATTGATCCACCGTCAAGAGCTATTTGACTTGAGGCTGATTTGTACAATAGGATAATGTACTGATGTGGACCAGTGCCATCCGGTGGTGTTGGACCTTGATAATCAGCTATCATATAAAACAACCAAAAAAACAATATCAGTCAAGTAGTTACACATTAAAAAAAACGAGCAGAAAGAATATCTACCAAGAGTTGTGCCACTATCAACATTGTCTCCTTTGAACGAAGCTTTAATCCAATGTAACCATGGACCAGCTATTTCATTGCCTCGCCGAGGCGCATCAGGATCGACCATAAGCTAGAAAATAGAAATATGATATCATGGAAAATAAGAAAAATAAACTAAATTACTAGTGTAAAAAATGGCATTTGTGGATCAGTTTTCAAGTTGATTTGAACAGTGGGCGCTATTTGAGTGTCAGATTTTTTCAGCAAACCTTCGTCACGAGCCCGATTGCCCTGATATTGAATAATAATTTTATTGGCTTTGTTTTTTCCAGCTTTATACTGTTTTCGTAGGTATTTCACGTCCGAACTGATATCGGCTATTGCAATTGAAATAATGACAGCAATTAAAATTAATACAAATGTGTAACAATAAGAATTAGACGTCATGAGAGGTTTTTGGAAGAAGAAAAATAAGAGCGACGATCCGAATCATTCCTTCCTATTAAAGTTACTCTATAATTCGGTTATATAACGAACGAATGAACAGAATGAAGAGAAAAAAGAACAATAGAGACGCTAGATGGAGCAGCACTATGACTTAACTCTGCTCCAGTTGACAGCAAAATATAATCGAAATACGATGAATCAACAACCCAGGTGATTCAATCCGACCTGTAGATCCTACCGGAAACTATCGGATCCGATGTCGGATCACACCGGAATTCGTCGGGTTCCCAACTAAATCCGATCGGAACCCAACCGTATTTGACAGGATTCCTAACTAACGGATTCCGGACCGGATTACGTCGGAAAGGATCCGATTGGATCCTGTCTGAACTGTTTGTCAGATAATGCCGTAACCACCAGGATCCTTTCACAGAGAAACGCCTGATAACGTAAGGCTCCGACAGAATACAGTCGGATTTCATCAGAAGTTGGCTGAATCTGTTTCGATTGCACAAGGATTCAATCAACATTTCACACAGATTTCATTCTAGCATTCTCAAAATTTCCAAAGATTTACTAGAGATTTCTGACAATTTCATCCAATTTTCCTCAAGATTTCTCAAGGATTTCATCGAGACTTCTAAAGATTTCCCCAGCATTTCACCGAGATTTCTGAAGATTTCCCAAGCATTTCATCAAGATTTATCAAGGATTTCGTCGAGATTTATGAAGATTTCACAAAGATTTCATCGAGATTTCGCAAAGATTTCATCGAGATTTCGCAAAGATTTCATCAAGATTTATGAAGATTTCCCAAGGATTTCATCAAGATTTCTAAATGCTTGTCCAGGATTTCATCCAGATTTCTGAAGATTTCCTAAGGATTCTCAAGATTTATAAAAATTTCTCAAGGATTTCGTCGAGATTTCTGAAGATTTCACGAAGATTTCCAAAGGATTTCATCAAGAATTCTAAAGATTTTCCAAAGATTGAATCGACATTTTGAACAGATTTCACCAGGATGTTATCAAAATTTCTAAAGATTGCATCAGGATGTCATCAAGAGTCTAAAGAATTTCAACTGTTTCAACTGGGATTATTCCTAGAATCTAACAATGTATATACTACGATCCTTCTTAAAATTGAACAATGCTTGTACTAAGATTGTTCCTAATATATAGAACTTAGTTATACAAAATGGCAGAATTCACTTGATATATGAAAGTAGAGAGTTCCTTATATAGATCGATACCTGTAAAACAAAACGGTGAATGAAATCTGGACAAAATCGGATTTCCAGATTTTTGATTTTGTTGTTGGAATTTTCCAAAAATAGGAATATCTAATAAATTAATTAATTAGTTGATTGATCTGTCAGAATATATACTAATTCATGAATCCTATTGCGTGGAAAACATAATTATATAAGGAAATAAAACATTTGAAGTAAAATTAATCTCAGCAACACTTTGGAAATTTATTCAAAATATTAAAGTAGAGACTTCCTTATATAGATCGATATCTGTAAAACAAAACGGTGAATGAAATCTGGACGAAATCGGATTTCCAGATTTTTGATTTTGCTTGTCGAAATTTGTAAAAAGAGAAATATCTAATTAATTCATTAGCTCATTCATCCGTCAGAATATATTCT